ATTTTCAGTAAGATATTGCCATTGGAATTCCTCGTTGAACCTACATGATGTGCTTTGTTGACCTAACGTTAGACGAAGGGAAAGTACTATATGTTATTATTATAGACATTCAATGCTAACATTTCGGAATATTGCAGCAATGGATCATGTACACAAAGAAATCAATTTGATTTTGTTAGATTTTACATTTTAGAGTTGAAGATTTAGCAGTCATCAATGATGAATATATGCCAATGAGAATTAACCCAAGTGGTGAAGTAATACGAACTCCAGCAGGCGTATACAAAGTGTCCTGTGAAAGTGTCGTCACATATTATCCGTTCGACGAACAGACCTGCCATATTAAAATAACAACTTCCGGCTACACTCAGGGTGAAATTGATCTTCGCTTCGATGAGAACGCAGTAGATCTCTCTGATTACATTCCAAACGGAGAATGGGAAGTGGCTTCTGCTGGTGGATTGTCATCAGGGGAACAGTCTAAATCAAGGAACGGGTTAAAATACGCAAGTTTATCTTTTGAACTAAAGTTGAAAAGACGATATTTGTTCCACACAATTAACACCATATTTCCAGTCTTTCTTATGGGCATGCTCATTCCTTTCGTGTTTAAGTTGAGTATTATGGAGGAGAAAATTGGGTATTCTTTGACGGTACTCTTGTCCTATGCTGTGTATCTAACATTAATTGCGGACCATATCCCTAGCACCTCTGTGACTGTGTGCTACCTATGTAAGCTTGAGTCTTCATTTTATCAGATGCTTAAAGACAATATACATCAAATGTTTTTAATCATAAATTTTCATTAAATTCAATGAAAATTTAAATAAGAAATGTAGATTACATAAAACGATCGTCTAACTCGGAAATGAACCTGTTTTCTCAAAGAGATCTTTTCCAATAATTTTTCCTCAGCAAATGAAACCTGATTTCTTAATAATTAACTTTTTTCTGATGACAAGACTCTTTATTTCTTTTACAGCCGTATACCTAGCAGTCATTCTGACAACATCAACGCTGTCCATCCTTATAGTTATAGTGGAAATTCAAGTCGCAACGACCAAAGGAAGCTTGTCGTCATGTACAAAAGCTTTTGCAAACTTTCTTGCTAATGTGTGTTGCTTTAAACGTAAATGGTGTCGTAATAAGACTGATCGTGCCCCAGAAGTCAGAGCTGACGAGTTTTACATAAACCGTCATGGAATTCTATCTTCCAAAGAGTTTGTGTCAGAAAACACAGAAAATGCATCAGATATCAATGATAGTGAAGGAATATCACGGGAAGAATTTTCAACCCTTCTTGATAGTTTTTTCTTTGTTATTTTCTTTCTTTTTATTATCATAGCGTCCCTTACACTTTTTGTTGCATTGATAATTGAGTATCAAAGCTATTAGACATACACTAGACAAAATTGTTAACGCACCAACCTAAGAAAATTTATATTTGACTTGTTTATGATGTATTTGGTGTAAAATTATGTAACTTTGATAAAATAATATAAATAATAACAATGTTTACTGAAGCGTAACCAATGAAAATGAAAATTGTGTCTTTTTCAATTTTAGAATAATAAATTTCTCTTTTTTAGCTCACCTGAGCTGAAAACTCAAGTGAGCTTTTCTGATCACATTTTGTCCGGCGTCCGTCTGTCTGTCCGTCTGTCTGTAAACTTTTCACTTTTTCGACTTCTTCTCAAGAACCGCTGGACCAATTTCAACCAAACTTGCCACAAAGTATCCTTGGGTAAAGGGGATTCAAGTTTATTCAAATGAAGGGCCACGCCCTCATTCAAGGGGAGATAATTGGGAACTAATGAAAATTTGGTGGCATATTTTAAAAATCTTCTTCTCAAGAACCACTGTGCCAGGAAAGATGAAACTTATGGGGAAACATCCTCAGGTAGTGTAGATTCACATTTGTTCAAACCATGACCCCCGGGGGTAGGGCGGGGCCAAATGGCCTACCAAAGTTTTACATAGAAATATATAGGAAAATTCTTTAAAAATCTTCTTGTCAAGAATGACAAAGCCATAATTCATCATATTTATATGGAAGCATGCTCAGATAGTGTAGATTCAAGTTTGTTCAAATCATGACCCCCAGGGGTAGGGCGGGGCCAAAATGGCCGACCATAGTTTTACATAGAAATATATAGGAAAATTCTTTAAAAATCTTCTTCTCAAGAATGACAAAGCCATAATTCATCATATTTATATGGAAGTATGCTCAGGTAGTGTAAATTCAAGTTTGTTCAAATCATGACCCCCAGGGGTAGGGCGGGGCCAAAATGGCCGACCAAAGTTTTACATAGAAATATATAGGAAAATTCTTTAAAAATCTTCTTGTCAAGAATGACAAAGCCATAATTCATCATATTTATATGGAAGCATGCTCAAGTAGTGTAGATTCAAGTTTGTTCAAATCATGACCCCCGGGGGTAGGGCAGGGCCAAAATGGCCGACCAAAGTTTTTAAAGATATATATAGGAAAATTCTTTAAAAATCATTTTCTAAAAAATAGCAAATCCATGACTGGTCATGGGACTACTTTTGGATTTAAACTTTACAATAAAAAGCCATTTTCTACTTTTTCCTACCCTTAGTGCTCAGGTGAGCGATGTGGCCCATGGGCCTCTTGTTAAAGTTGTATTTGTGTTCTTCTCATTTGTATTAATAAAAAACTCAAGTTACTCCGTAAGCGGCGTTTGATGCTACAAGAGCACGCTAAGCAGACAGCATGGCGTCTGCAGAGTTTCCCATTTCAGAAATCTGTAAAAAAAAAAAAAAAAAAAAAAAAAAATTTGAATTCCTGTCAAATAAATTCAAAATAAAAAAAAAATGTTTACTATTGATAGTCATGGCATTTAGTTAGCAGTATAAGATAAGTTCAAAATTGTTCCTAAAGACTTGGTCAGGACACAGTTTATGGACACTAAGGCACTAGATGATTACATGTTTATGGACACTAACTTTTGGGCAACCTCATAAACCACCTTTAGTTATCAAGAATGTCTTCTCTGGGCAAAAACGGTGCACAATGCACATATGGAAATCAGTTTTCAGATAATAAGGTCATTAAACGGTCTTTTTATGATACCAAGACATTTGTTAATCCCATTGTTTTGGAATAGTTTATTATATACACTAGTACCAATCCGGGACATGTGCGTTAGCAATTTTGTTTAGTGTTTATGCGTTTCAGTAATGCATGTACATGTATATATGTAAATGACTTACTAGTAAATGTATATAAAGGAACCTAGAGAACCAAATTTTATCTCGAAGTTTCTTAAAGCCGTTTGTTTTCTTTGATGATAGGTTGAATTTTTTTTGTTTTGAAAAAAAAAATTTCATGTAAGGATTTTTTTCTTAAATTTTATTCATTTTGACAAAATCGCAACGATTTCAAATATGTTTGCTCCACACGGTGCACAAGTTGCATATTGTTTTTACTCTGTTTCTTATTATTATTATTATTATTATTATGGAAAAAATCAGGGGAAACCTTTTTAGGGTTCAGATGTAATAAGGTCATTAAAGCGCGCACGTGCAACACGTGAAATTTTTATTGCTGTATCTTTTACATTTTTCGATGCAATGCTTTGATATTTAGAATATATAGACATATTATAAATTGTAAGATGACATTGTCAACATGCCATTTTGTGTGCACGTGCTTGCAAGAGCGCGCACGAGCAACACGTGAAATGTTGATATGTAATTTGTAATGAAATGTGGTATAGGATTATATACATAGACAATATGACAGTCAAAATACAAGATCTCACGCGCATGCACGTGCGCTTGCTCTGATTGGCTGAAACTAAAGCAAATTTTGTTTGATGAAATCCTTTGAAATTTTTATGCATTAGGATATCCTACAACATAATATAAAACAATTTTCATGAAAATACGTGCATACGTGTGCTGCAATCTGATTGGCTGAAACTTTAAATAGCTATAACTCCCTTGGTTTTCAACCAAACAGGATGGAATTTGGAACATAGATATAATGGACTTCTACAAGAAGGTATGGGTGTACGTGCGCTGCAATCTGATTGGCTGAAACTTTAAATAGCTATAACTCCCTTAGTTTTCAACCAAACAGGATGAGATATGGAACACAGATAGATATAATGGACTTCTACAAGAAGGTATGATCACCATGCACATCCATACACGTGCGTGAAAGCCTGATTGGCTGAAACTTTAATTTCTCCCTTGGTTTTCAACCAAATGGAGTGGGATATAGAACATGAATTTTTTGTCACCATGCTTTTGAAAAAAAAATCAAAAATAACATACATTTTTTTAAATACTTTTGGATTTTTTTATTAAGTATATTAAAGTATATCATTTTGAAGATGATATGGTCATTCGCACATGCATTTTCAAATAAAATTTGAATGAACTTGGTACCCTTTGCTCATAAAGTTTGTCACTTACTTGGTTTGTATCTGTAACGGTCCCCGTTACAATTAGCACTAGTTTTATGTATGTCTTCATTCTTTACGTTGATATTTGCCATCAATATTAAATTTTAATTCCATAGCCCTTATTGTATTTTTATACAGGACCTGTGCTCATGAACTTTGTGAGTACTAAATTTTCACTGCTGTCGATATTGTTAATATCGACTCTGTATAGCCACTTAATGTAGGTTGAATAAAGACCTGTCATGTGTGATGTCAATATCTATTAATTGAAGCAGTCCATCCATTTGCGGAGTTTGATATTTAATATATAATTGATATGTCAATAAACTTCATACATTTAACGTCTTTACTTCTTCATATTTTCCCATTGAACAAACATATATCAATTATATCAATAAGCAGAATTATTGTTAAGATAGTATATTTTAAAAATCTTTCAATTCAAAATAAATCTTATTGCTATTGTGTAGTTCTTATAAAAGACTAAACAGATTAGAACGGTCATAGCTTAACTACTCGGAGTACTGAGTTGTGTATACGTTACATACAGTAAGTGTAGTATTGTTCTCGAAATATACTAAGTAATTTAAATGTATCATTGGTTAAATCAAAGCTCGTGTGTATTTTAAAACTAGGTTTTGTGGTCTTTTGTGCGCAGTTTTTAGTCGAATTTTATATAAGTTGCAAACTGCTATTAGGCATCTGGAGAATAGATTAATTAATGACCATAATAATAATAAATAACACCGTCATATAGTTCACTGCACTATTTGAAGTTACACCTGGCTAGAAGCATCATGCACTCCAGATATTTTACACTTGTTTTAGTTTTGATGATGTCTTTAAGAGGTATGTTTTGAATGATAATTTCGAGAATATGTGTATCAGGTATTATTATTAGATTATTCTGCGTTTGTACAGCTTTTTTCCATTTTTATTCTTATAAATATTTAATAAGTCTCCTATATTTTACTAATTAATTACATTACGCCAGAAAGATTAAATTGAAAAGCTTTATGTGATACAGCATGTTTAAGTTTTTTTTAACAGATACCGCACTTTAATTTTCATTTAATTTTATGTTAAAGTGCATGCGTACATACACAACTATTATTTAGCATAAGATGCTAACCCTTGTTGTTTGGTTCGGGCATCATTTGGTAAGATTATGAACTTCTTCTTTTAACAAAAATCCATAAATATTATTATATAATGGTTAAATTTTAATTCATTAATATTACTGTACAACATTATTTCGACAGCTTATGGAAATCAGTGCGGTGCAGTAACTGAATGCACGCCCTGTACCGCCAAACCAGACCATTGGCATACACTGGAGTGTAAACAAGGCACGTGTGTCTGCACGACCTCACAAAGTGAGTAGAGATTTATTTTCAAACAGAAACTGTACATTTTAGAAAATTTTAGATATTATTATTAAAAATGAAAGTGAAATTTAAGAGCACACAGCTGATCGTGTGACTTTTTTCCAGTATGTAGCAGTGACGAGGATTGTCGGAATCAGTGCCCAGAATTTCCATACAAAACTTACAAATGTCTTGGGAGCAGCTGTGCTTGTTTTAACCCTGCGTATTATCCCTAAGATAAACAAATTATATAAATATGATTATTAAAGATGTATTTGTGTCTAAAATAAATAGACAATAATTAGTGTTTTTTTTCATGTACATGTGATATACAGAGAAAACGAGCAGCTACTTATAGTTTTTGCTTCAAGCCAATTTATAGACAATTGTCATGCTTGTCTAAGCAGAGGATGACGAGATTAAACCACATTTAGAGATCAATAAACGTCTATGTTTCGTCAGCAAAATAAGCACATTTACATTAAATTTCATTTTGCACAAAAAGCAAATTTTTGAGGATGGAAAACTTTTTATTTAGTGACACTTTGTTCCGACTACAGATATCAGCTGGATACAAGTTATCTTATTTCAATAGACCAAATTCCATTTTCGGAATACACTTCATATTATTTTTCCTAAACATTTTGGTATGTTTGTGATTAAATATCAGACCGATTCTTTATGAAATCGTATTTACTTAATTTGAATTTTAAGAAAGTGCATGAGATTTGAAGCTATCTTTTATAAAGAAATGAAAATTGTAAACACAACGACAATGCATCAGTTTCCATACCCCTATAAAACGATTGATTGAGATCCTCTTTGACAAAAAAATACATCATTCTTCTCAGATCAGTTGTTCTGTTTGGGATTAAGATGATAGATAATTGTTCTCACTGGTTAACCAACCTCTTAAATATTTTCATGAAGCAGATTCCATTTACAAGGAACAAAAAGATCCAAGTGAAAAGAAGAAAACTTTTGCTGTTTCTGTATCTTACTTTTTGTTATATCGTCTACGTTTATTCAATAAGAAACAAAACAATGTATTTGCACCAACGCGTCGAATCGATACATCCCAGATCAAAACAAAATCCTCAGAGTCAGTACTTACCCTTTAAAGCTTAAATTTTCTAAATACTAAATCATTCACCAGCTTGTCAAAAAACAGAATAATATACGGGATGATTATATCTCTCTTAATCCAATCTGAAATTCAGTTTTTACTGAAAGTAACTGAAGGTTCAAGAAAAGCCATTCAGTAACCTTTCTTTGCCTTTCAATGACCTATAAGTTAACTAAAGACGAGCTTTATCTGTACATTCAGATATACCCAAAATCATCCGCTAGGACATTGTATTTAGCAATAAACCTTCATCATCTATTTTTGGAAAACAATTAATCCTCAAAAATTATATATAACAAATATCGAGGCAAAATGTCTGCAGAAGCCCTCTGTTGATACCTCACCTGGGATGCCATTAGCTCCCAGGATCGTATTATTTTTTCAATATATTTTCAATACGGGGCATACGGAGTTTATATACTCACCATTCATATTCAGATTAAACATGATAATCTAAGTTTTAACTTTAAACCTCATATACATACTTGAATCCTCATAAATATGACAGGCAACACTTAAGACTCTATTTGCTTCTATAAAAGCAAAATGAAAAAAAAGAAAAGAAAAAACGGACAGACACGTTGTTTTTCTGTGGAATGTTAATATAAAACATCACTAAATCTGAGTCACTTAATGGCACATGAACAAATAAGGACATGTAAGGTAGTTATACACTTACGGAAGTTTTGTTTCCTTGATATATCGGCAAGCAAAATAATGTTTATTTGTTATTGTTAAAATGTTAACTCCATGTCATATTTTTTTAAGTTATCAGTGTCATCAGAGGTCGTCGTTGACAACAGGTTTGCTTACTTGATCCTATAAATTGTGTTTCAGGTAATTCTTGTTTTATTTCTGTTTATGTGTTTTATATGTATATGTGTATATGCATTAACAATGCACGACCGAACATTTTTAACAAACTATGAATTTCATAATAAGACAAAATTCTAAGTATTCTTTGTTCTTAAATCATAAATCTTTAAACTCAAGCAATAAATTTTTTTACACGTTTATCAGAAAAACAGATGAAAGAAAACGGATCTAGTCGCAAATCACTTATTCTAAAAAGACCAATTTTTAGAGGACGTCGATCTTTCAATTAGCACTCTACATTCAAACAAACATTGTGTAATCAATTTTAGTGGATGTTAGAGTGGGTGATTGGAAAGGTACGACAAAGAGGACCTCGACTCTTTGTCAGAATTAATTAAAAGAATCAGGGAGATGTTTGATTCTCACACTCACCGGCTATGTAAAAACGTTATGTATGAATAATATGGAGATGACGAAGAGTATCCTAGCTCAAAGGTCCGTTAAACAATACAATATAGGTGCAAAGAATACTCGGACCTCCTTAACACCAGAGGAGGAATGAAATTGCACTGCCGACAGGTCACATTCTGTATTTCTTAAACGATAAAGAGGTGATTAAGAAATTCTATAACATGGTATCTCTCTTTTATTCGTCGACTTGATGTTTCCCAGTAAAACTTTAAAAAAAATAATGAAATAGAGTCTGACACATTAGCTTCATATTTGGATATTTGACTAGAAAAAAACTAATAACAAAACTCTATGATAAACAGTCGAAAAAAACATCGACTATTCCTTCGTCAACTTCCCTTATTTATGTGGTGATATACCCGTAACACCTACGTTATAGTTATATCTCTCTGTTGATTCAATACGTAAGAACATGCTCTATAAAAAAAATCCACATATTTAAACATTGCAAATTATTGACAAATAAGTTAATTTGCTGAACCAAAATTATCTAAAGTATCCGTCAAATTCATTGTTTTGTTTTGTGCAAAAAAAAAAAAAAATAAAATAAAATTCTTATCAACCGCTGACTGACGTTTTCCATACAAACTGTCAGGGCATTAGTTGATTACTTGCTGAATTGTATACGTATTTTGATCTTCGTAACAGGTTTCCCAACAATGTTTTTGAATTCCCATGGGTACAGATTGCGGCTCGTTATTAAACAGACCTATTTTTTTGTATTCATATGAAGCAAAATTTGTGCAAAATCTTATTTGTGAAAAGAATGAAACACTTGAGGTGGCCTCCAACTCAACATTTAGATATATCGACGACGTATTGTTAATTAACAATAGAAATTTCCATTCTTATGTCAATATGATATATCCTGGTGAGCTCGAGATAAAAGATGCCACAAAGTCTGACACATCTGTTTCATATCTAGATGGATATATTTTCTTGAAAAAGATGTTAATGGTAATCTAACAACCTAGCACTATGATAAACAAACTGTTTAATTTTTCTATCGTCAACATCCCTTATTTATGCAGCAATATACTTTCATACGAAGTTTATATATCTTAGTTGATTCGATACGCAAGATCATGCTCTATGAAAGAACGAGGTAAATTATTGACAAACAAGTTGATGAAACAAGAATTTCAGCTGTCTCATTTTATTTTCTCATTTTGGAAGTTGTATGGTCAGTACAATGACCTTGTCAGCAAATACAATTTATTACTAAGTCAATGACATTTTTCATAGTAATTGTTAGTCAATTATGATATTTATACACTAATTGACGACTTATTTTTCCCGTTATCCCCGATTGTAGGCGAGGAGCACATGGCGGGTGTGACGGGTCGGCAGGATATGCTCACACCTATGTGACACCTGATCCAACCTGCGATGTTTTGGAGGTTCGTGTTTGCTCTGCTTCTATTTTGCATTGTTTTAGGGAACATGAATACTGTTCGTTATCTCAATATGCTTCATTGTAGAAGTCCAATGATTAGCCTTAGAAAAATATACATGTCTAATACTAATAGCCACTTCCCCAGTATATGACATGATTATAGATTCTACGTAAAGGTTAAATTTATGAATACAATATTGGTTACAGATGAAGTTTTTCTTTTCAGTCGCTTGAATAACATATAAGCAAACCCATCGATTTGTGGTTAGCAAAAGATATATATGGTGGTCGTTATGCAGTCTGATACCAAACCTGTCATCGGTTTTTCATTTGCTGAAAAAAAAAATGAATTATTGAAAGCCTAATCTTTTCAAAAACTTCCTGATGGATGATATAGTATAACGGTCCATATATAGCAGTTTGTTTTCATTTACAGTTTAAATATTAATGAGCGATATCATGAATTGGAGAAGTAGGAAAGATGATATTTTTCAGAATTAAGGTGGAGTTTTGAAACGGATGATTTTATCTGTTATAAACTGATACATGTAAAGAGGAAAATCATTTATTTCAAGATAGAATAGTGCATATTTAATGAAATTGATTTTTTTTTCCAGAAAATTGTTGACATTTCATCTCAATAGTACTAGGAGGAATATCAATCGATTCTTTTCATTTATGCAGGCAGCTAAAATTCACTTTTTAGGAGGTCTTTTCATTGGATGAACAACCGTGGAAGCAAGTGATATTACAGGTGTGCATGATTTAAATCATGTTACATGTACATTTATGCAGTGTTTTCTTATATCGGCGGAGAATAGCGAGATATTTTTTTGAAAACTAATTATTAAGGATTGACTTAACTGATGTAATCCTGATTTTTTTCCCTTACAACTAAAGAAGGGACGATCAAGTTTTTAATTTGGAAAAAAGACCAAGAAATGCTTTAATTTGTCTTTTTCTTGACGTGTGCCAAATGCATCATCGATTTCTCGAAATCACTTGCTTTTAAATATCGGATATAGTTATATGTGACAAAGGTTTTTGAAATACTTGCACATGAAATAATACAGGATGACTACTGTATTATTGAATATTAGTGGTTCCATATTTCAAACAACCTTCGAAACTCTTGAAAAAATTCCAAGTACAAAACTTAGTTTTCTCAAGCAAGATTTTTCCGTCAAATCTTCCCCAGCTTCTTTCTATTTCGACAGAAACCCAGATGTTTTCAATTACATTTTGGATCTCTACAGAACAGGAGAACTTCATTTTCCTTCCAACATTTGCGGAGCTACTATAAGAAACGAACTGGAATTTTGGGAAATTGACAAATGCTATTTAAGTGAATGTTGTTTAAAGGCCTTCTACAAACATGAAAGTGACATGAGTATTTTGAAGGAAATCAAAAATCTTGAAAAATATAAAGTACTAGATGTCCCTATAGAGGAATGTCGCAAGGGGTGTTGGCGAAACTGCATC